ACTTGTAGGTTATTCCTCTTGAGAGGGTCCCACATAATTCTTAGAGTTTCTTCATTTTTTTAAATCCTTTTAGATGATTTTTCCTCAAATAAGTTGGTGTCAAGTGCTTTATCTTCAGTCTCACTAATTCTGACTTCCATTGCCTCAATTCTGCTGCTATGACTTTCTACTGAGTTGTCTAATTGACATTTTATTGTTAATCTTCTGGATTTCTGATTGCTATCTCTCTATGGATTCTTGCAGCCTGTTAAATTTTTCATTATGTTCTTCTCTAATCTTTTAAATTCCCTCTATTGCATGTTCTTCATTTTGCTTAGTTTCCTTCCTAATTTCTTGAAGAGTTCTGTATATTAATCTTTTGTATTCTGCCTCTGGTAATTCAAAGAAATTTTCCTCCTCTGGAAAATTTCTAGATTCTTTACTTTGGGAGCTTGCTGAAGCCATCACGGAGTGCCTCTTTATGTGATTTGATATTGACTATTGTCTCCGAGCCATCAATAAGGTATTATATTGATTTATTTTACGTTTGCTTACTGTGTCCTAGCTTCTTGTTTTGTTTTGATATGCCCAGAAAGGCTGCTCATATGAGCTAGTTTGATTATTGGCACCTTTGAAGCTCTAATGTCCTATCATAAGGTGGTTAGATCTGTTACTAGGTATGTGAGCTCAGGAGTCCGCCCACTCCTCCTGTATGGATTCAGCTCAGGTGGCCAGATAGATAGCCACCAAGTGCGTGGTGTAGGCTCTCACTAACAGTCTCTAGACAGGCATGGGTGATAGGTGTAGGCACAGGCATCTGGCTGTAGCAGGGGGACACACTATGAGCAAGGCAAGGGTTGACGGCTGCCCCCGAGTGTCTAGGAAGAAGGTGTGTCCCTGTTCCCTCGAGCGCGTAGGTGGGTGGGTTTTGCAGCTGGACTATGAGCACCTAATGCTGTTGGCTGTAAAGACTAGGGGGTCACCTCTTATTCATGGGCCCCTATCACAGGTGGTTAGGTGGCATGGGTAGAGCCACCAGTACTCAGGCCCCTGATGTGGGTAGGTAAAGACCCTACTTAATGGGCAGAGCAGTGTCAAATTTCAAGATCCTGCCACTTCACAGCTGAAACAGTTGAAGTTAGACTTTCAGTATATACCCTGTTGTACTGTGGTAATGAGGGCCTACACTGCTGAGATGGGCCTACATAAGTCTACATAGGGGCAAAGGCACTCAAAGTCCATGGATTCCTTATGCCTGTGCCTAGGCAAAGGAGCTGTGCCTATCCTGGGTTCCTGGCTTAGGGGAGCCAGCAGTTTATTTTTCCCTGTTTGTTAATTTGTTCACTGTCCAAGGCAGGAAGAATGGCTCTGGGCATGTGACAGGTCCTACTTTCGGCCCAGGGTACTCAGCAATTGCTGAAGCCGGTCCGGGACCCAGTACAGAACAGGGAGCTGGGAGGTAAATGGGAAAGAAGTTTTTCCCTAAGGGGGGTGTTTTTGATCTGTGCGGTAGGCCATACGTAATTACTCATCTTTCGCTGATCCAGGGCTGCTTCTCACTGGTTCTGGGTGGCCGTGCAG